TTTTATTATTGTCATTAGTGATTATCTCAATTTCGACTAAAAGAATTGACAAAATCCTACACACTGTGCATTTAAAAAACACATTTTAATATTTAACAAGTTTGTAGCAACAGAACAGACAAAAAAGTTTCATTCCAAACTTCCATTCATATAACGTTTGACTGATCGTAACAATATTACAACTTGTATTAGGTGTGTGCCAGGCCTGTTCACCCCTTTTTTGATATATCATAACAATAGCAATTTCTAGTTTTCTATCATCTATTCTCCTGYCAGATTTTTAAACTGYTGTTGCCAATTACMTCAGCTGAATTTAACTTTGCTTTGTTGTACACATATGAGCTAAGTAGGTCTAAATCCCATTCTGTGAACTGAGTCCTGGGCTATAACCATTACAGTGCCATCCAGTGGAAACAGGAAGTCACATACYATAATTTACACCAAACTTGATCATAGGTAATTTTTAAAGTCCTCTTGCCAAAAAGCTGATGTCCTGCCATCACACAAGAAGTAGTTATAGCACATACATACGGAGAGGGTTTAATGTGCTGGAAAATATGGCATAAATTTCATCATCAGCTGTCAGAAAAAGTCACTAAAATTTAAAAAAGGCCACAGATGACCAACAAAAGAGCAATCAGGGTCTTAAACCCAATATTACTTTCACCATTCTGCTCCTAGTTTTACAATTTAGAGCTTTTTTTTATTAAACATTAAATATCCCCCAGTTGTTTGAACCAAGACAACATGTTGGACAAAGATTTGGTTAATTAGATACAGTTTGCATTTTTTTAGGCTGCTGACTGTGGAATGGATGAGTAAGGTTTTGTAAGTAAAGATGCCCAAATTTCTGGCTTTTTTGTTTGGCAGATACATCAGTCTCAATGTTTTCATAGGCAGATATTTACTTTCAGTCATAGTCATAATTMTAAAAGAAGATTTTCAAAAGACTGACAAACATCTCTAATCAAGTTTATAATGTGACTACAAAAGCAGGTTTATATGGCTGAAAAATTCAYGAGTAAAACTCAAGTGGCTTAACGAAAAACAAAAACAAAACAAAAAAACAACAAAAAAGTCCAGTATTTGACTGAAAAAGAGTGGAAAAACAGCCAAAGTCTAAAGAAAAAAAATAAAAATGTTATAGAAAAGTCTGGCTCCTTCGAAAAAACAAAGACCAAA